TTTTTTTTTTTTTTTTTTTGAATTGACCCTAAGTGTTAGTTTTAATATAGATACTTAGAACTTACATCAAGCAGTGTGTGATTGGGCCTGGTTACAACTTGAGATCTTATACTCGTCAACAAATATAATAAATAATATACATAAACAGGTAAGTTTCGATATGAAACAAATGAATAAACAAATTGACGAAAAAACAACGACAGCAACGTAAAAACCACAAAAGCTACTAATGATAGGCGTACATACGTTTAAATATATTTATTACGTTTTTTTTTTTTTTTTTTTTTTTTTTATGAAATGAACCCTAAGTGTGAGTTTTAATATAGATACTTAGAGCTTACATCAAGAAAGCAAAAAAAAAAAATTTATTTTATATCCATATTTAAAAAAATATATGTAACAAAAGCTACCCTCTCTCGGCTTTAGCTTTTAAAAAATATTTTTTTATTTTTTGATATATTTTTCTATATTTTTGGAAATAATCGCCACTCTTGTGGTTATTCACCCTTCTGTCCAACCAATTTTGTACCTTTCATATCACTTCTTCTTCTTTTTTTTTTGCCTTATTATCTAAAAAAAAAAAAGAAAGAAAAAGAAGTGATTTTTTTGCTTTGATTTGCTCACACTCACAAAATGAATGCGAACAATTATTTCACGTTTTATCGAGAATAAATTCAAAATTTAACCGTTACTTTTGCACTAAACTCAAATTAAGACAATGAGGAAAAGCGCGCGCATTTGATGATGAGTTTTTTTTTTATTTTTTTTTTGAAAAATGTCTTTGAAAAACTTTCGGCTGAATTGTGTAAGCATCTCCACGTAGAAATTATAGATGAATTGTTCGGCTTTCTAAAGCGCCATCAGAAACTATTTAGCACGAGAGACGATAATGTTGGAATGCGACCCACGCCGAAGTATTACTTTTATTTCACATTTTAATTGGATTTTTTATATAATAAATCTCAACAGATTTTTATGGCATTTTGGAAATAAAATATTAGAGGTGTGCCTCTATATCCTGTAATGAGACAGTTTTTACCTACCTATATAAGAAATCGATGAATTTTTTGTCTAAATTGATGCACGAAACTGCTATTATTTGATTTGTTTTTCACTGTTGTTGTTTGTGTCGGTTGGTTTTATTGTTGCTTTTTCCTTTTTTTTTTTTTTTTTTTTTTTTTTTCTTTTTTAAAGGTTTTGTTGTTGCTCTCAGTGACTTTACTACTGCTACTCTTTGGCAAGTGCACACGAAGACCAGAACGTAGATTATTTGTTTGTTCGCTAGATTGCTTGCCTGCTTGCTTGCGAACGATTCACAGTACAATATTATACAGTACTACGGTGTATGGCAGCTGAACATTTGTATAGTAGAAGAAAATTTTTCACAGCGAACAACTAACTTCATACAGAGTATACAAAATATAAGCAGAGCCAGTAGTAGTCAGTCAGGCAGGCAAATATTGTAGAAGGAGGGTGGCAAAGAGAAAGGCAGGGGCAAAGTATATCAAGCAGACGTTTGCACGGCTCTTCTCGTTTAGTTATTCGTTCATTTGTTCGGTTGTTTTATACTCTCAACTATGTTAGTATTGAAATACACATATTCTCGCTTTACCATTCTCT